CTTCTCTAGTGCACATGGAACATTCTCCAGAATAGATCACATCCTCGGTCCTAAATCAGGTCTCAACAGGTATCAAAAGATTGGGATCATTCCCTGCATATTTTCAGACCACAATTCTCTGAAGCTAGAACTCAATCACAAGAGGAAATTTGGAAAGAACCCAAATACATGGAGACTAAACAGCATCCTTCTAAAGAACGAATGGGTCAACCAGGAAATTAAAGAAGAATTGAATAAAGTCATGAAAACAAATGATAATGAAAATACAAAGGTTCAAAATCTGTGGGACACAGCAAAGGCAGTCCTGAGAGGAAAATATATAGCGGTACAAGCCTTTCTCAAGAAACAAGAAAGGTCTCAGGTACACAACCTAACCCTACACCTAAAGGAGCTGGAGAAAGAACAAGAAAGAAACCCTAAACCAGCAGGAGAAGAGAAATCATAAAGATCAGAGCAGAAATCAATGAAATAGAAACCAAAAAAACAATAGAACAAATCAACAAAACTAGGAGCTGGTTCTTTGAAAGAATTAATAAGATTGATAAACCCCTGGCAAGACTTATCAAAAAGAAAAGAGAGAGGACCCAAATAAATAAAATCATGAATGAAAGAGGAGAGATCACAACTAACACCCAAGAAATACAGACAATTATAAGAACATATTATGAGCAACTCTATGCCAACAAATTTGACAATCTGGAAGAAATGGATGCATTCCTAGAGACATATAAACTACCACAACTGAACCAGGAAGAAATAGAAAGCCTGAACAGACCCATAACCAGTAAGGAGATTGAAACAGTCATCAAAAATCTCCAAACAAACAAAAGCCCAGGGCCGGATGGCTTCCCAGGGGAATTCTACCAAACATTTAAAGAAGAACTAATTCCTATTCTCCTCAAACTGTTCCAAAAATAGAAATGGAAGGAACACTTCCAAACTCATTTTATGAGGCCAGCATCACCTTGATCCCCAAACCAGACAAGGATCTACAGAGAACTACAGACCAATATCCTTGATGAACACAGATGCAAAAATTCTCACCAAAATACTAGCCAATAGGATTCAACAGTACATTAAAAGGATTATTCACCACGACCAAGTGGGATTTATTCCAGGGCTGCAAGGTTGGTTCAACATCCGCAAATCAATCAAGGTGATATAACACATTAATAAAAGAAAGAACAAGAACCATATGATACTCTCCATAGATGCTGAAAAAGCATTTGACAAAGTACAGCATCCCTTCCTGATCAAAACTCTTCAAAGTGTAGGCATAGAGGGCACATACCTCAATATTATCAAAGCTATCTATGAAAAACCCACTGCAAATATCATTCTCAATGGAGAAAAACTGAAAGCTTTTCCTGTAAGGTCAGGAACACGGCAGGGATGTCCGTTGTCACCACTGCTATTCAACACAGTACTAGAAGTCCTAGCCTCAGCAATCAGACAACAAAAAGAAATTAAAGGCATCCAAATCGGCAAAGAAGAAGTCAAACTATCACTCTTCGCAGATGATATGATACTATATGTGGAAAACCCAAAAGACTCCACTCCAAAACTGCTAGAACTGGTACAGGAATTCAGTAAAGTGTCAGGATATAAAATCAATGCACAGAAATCAGTCGCATTTCTCTACACCAACAACAAGACAGAAGAAAGAGAAATTAAGGAGTCAATCCCATTTACAATTGCACCCAAAACTATAAGATACCTAGGAATAAACCTAACCAAAGAGACGAAGAATCTATACACAGAAAACTATAAAGTACTCATGAAAGAAATTGAGGAAGACACAAAGAAATGGAAAAATGTTCCATGCTCCTGGATTGGAAGAATAAATATTGTGAAAATGTCTATGCTACCTAAAGCAATCTACACATTTAATGCAATTCCTATCAAAGTACCATCCATTTTTTTCAAGGAAATGGAACAAATAATCCTAAAATTTATATGGAACCAGAAAAGACTGCAAATAGCCAAAGGAATATTGAAAAAGAAAGCCAAAGTTGGTGGCATCACAATTCCGGACTTCAAGCTCTATTACAAAGCTGTCATCATCAAGACAGCATAGTACTGGCACAAAAACAAACACATAGATCAATGGAACAGAATAGAGAGCACAGAAATAGACCCTAACCTCTATGGTCAACTAATCTTCGACAAAGCAGGAAAGAATGTCCAATGGAAAAAAGACAGCTTCTTCAATAAATGGTGTTGGGAAAATTGGATAGCCACATGCAGAAAAATGAAATTGGATCATTTTCTTACACCACACATGAAAATAGACTCAAAATGGATGAAGAACCTCAATGTGAGAAAGGAATCCATCAAAATCCTTGAGGAGAACACAGGCAGCAACCTCTTTGACCTCAGCCGCAGCAACATCTTCCTAGGAACATCGCCAAAGGCAAGGGAAGCAAGGGCAAAAATGAACTATTGGGATTTTATCAAGATCAAAAGTTTTTGCACAGCAAAGGAAACAGTTAACAAAACCAAAAGACAACTGACAGAATGGGAGAAGATATTTGCAAACGACATATCAGATAAAGGGCTAGTGTCCAGAATCTATAAAGAACTTAGCAAACTCAACACCCAAAGAACCAATAATCCAATCAAGAAATGGGCAGAAGACATGAGCAGACATTTCTGCAAAGAAGACATCCAGATGGCCAACAGACACATGAAAAAGTGCTCCATATCACTCGGCATCAGGGAAATACAAATCAAAACCACAATGAGATATCACCTCACACCAGTCAGAATGGCTAAAATTAACAAGTCAGGAAATGACAGATGCTGGCGAGGATGCGGAGAAAGGGGAACCCTCCTACACTGTTGGTGAGAATGCAAGCTGGTGCAACCACTCTGGAAAACAGCATGGAGGTTCCTCAAAATGTTGAAAATAGAACTACCCTATGACCCAGCAATTGCACTACTGGGTATTTACCCTAAAGATACAAACGTAGTGATCCGAAGGGGCATGTGCACCCGAATGTTTATAGCAGCAATGTCTACAATAGCCAAACTATGGAAAGAACCTAGATGTCCATCAACAGACGAATGGATAAAGAAGATGTGGTATATATACACAATGGAATACTATGCAGCCATCAAAAGAAATGAAATCTTGCCATTTGCGACGATGTGGATGGAACTAGAGGGTATCATGCTTAGTGAAATAAGTCAATCAGAGAAAGACAACTATCATATGATCTCCCTGATATGAGGGAGAGGAGATGCAACATGGGGGGTTAAGGGGGTAGGAGAAGAGTAAATGAAGCAAGATGGGATTGGGAGGGAGATAAACCATAAGTGACTCTAATCTCACAAAACAAACTGAGGGTTGCTGGGGGGAGGGGGGTTGGGAGAGGGGGGTTGGGTTTATGGACATTGGGGAGGGGATGTGCTATGGTGAGTGCTGTGAAGTGTGTAAACCTGGCGATTCACAGACCTGTACCCCTGGGGAAAAAAATATATGTTTATAAAAAATAAAAAAAAAAAGATATATGCGCCCTATGTTTACTGTAGCATTATTTGCCATAGCCAGCATATGGAAGCAACCCAAGTGTCCATTAATAAATCAATGGATAAAGAAGATGTAGTATATGTAGACAATGCAATATCATTCCAGTGTAAAAAAAAAAATAATGTTAACTTACCATTTGTGATAACATGGACAGACTGTGAGAGTATTACGCTATAAGAAGTAAGTCAGAGGGAGAAAGACAAATATCATATGTTACCACTTACATATGCAACCCTTAAACAAAAAAAGAAGAAGAAGAACAAAAGCAGAAAGACTCATCAATACAGAGAACTGATGTTTGCTTAAAAAAAAAAAAAAGAACAAGAGAGGGAAAGCAAAATGGGTAAGGAGAGTGGGAGATACAGGCTTCCAGTTATTAAATGAATGTCAGGAAGATAAAAGGTACAACATAAGGAATATAGTCAAAGTTATTGTAATAGTTGTGTACTGACAAATGGAATCTACACTTGTGAGAAGAACATAGCAGATAGACTTGCTGAGTCACTATGTTGTAACCTGAAACTAATGTAACATTGTGTGTTAACTATGCTTTTAAAAAAAGTAATAAAAAAGATTTTTAAGAAGCCCTCACCACACACACACACACACACACACACACACACACAAAATCATGAGGTGCTGGATGTGTTAAATAATCCTGTGGTGCAAACATTTCACCGTATATAAGGGAAGCAAGTCAGCATGTTGTACACCTTAAATATGCACAATGTTGTATCAATGATATCTCAATAAACTCAGAAAACAAATTTTTAACATAAAAGATTATGCTAATTAAGGGAGCCAATCACAAAAGACAATATGATGTATAATTTCATTTATATGAAATGCACAGAACAGACAATAAATATGACAAAAAGTAGATAAAATGTTGACTATGGCTGGGAGATGCAGAAAATGCAGTTTCATTAGAGGGTAAATGTTCCCATTTGGGGTGATAAAAGTCCTCTAAAATTGATCATCATGGTGGTTATACAATTCTGTGAATATACTATGAAACACTGAATTGTACACTTAAAATCTGACAATTGTATAGGATATGAATTACATGTCAACCAAATTTTTATGAACAAAATCTCTTGAACCATCATATCCACAACATATAATTCACCTGTATAATAACTTTAATTCTTGTGTCAATGAGACTACAGACAGTGACCTTTCACCACTGTCACTAACATTCTTCCAAAATATATTACAAAAGACAGGTGACTTGCACATGTTAGGTCATTGGCTCTTAGCTAGATGATAGAATTTATAAGCATCAAACGGATATTAAACACATTTGTATACAAATGAAATCATCTGCCTTTACCTTTTTCCATTTGCCATCCAAATAATCTGACTGTTCACATAATCTGTTTACTTTGAAATGTAAGAGTTATACTTTAACTTACTAAGTGATTTCTCCTTGACTATAAATTCAAGCAATGGGACAGGGAAACAGGAATTTGCAAAGAAACATTGCATTCCACCAGGATGTCTACAAAGTGGATTTCCATTCTTCTGCTGCTACAGCTGAGTTGTTACTTCAGCTCTGGGAGTTGTGGAAAGGTGCTGGTGTGGCCCACAGAATATAGCCACTGGATCAATATGAAGACAATCCTCGATGAACTTGTCCAGAGAGGTCACGAAGTGACTGTTCTGACATCTTCAGCTTCAATTCTTGTTGATCCGAGCAAATCATCTGCTATCAAATATGAGATTTTCCCTGCATCCATACTTAAAGATGATTTGAAGGATTTTTTCAGCAAAATGCTCGATATGTGGATATATAACTTGCCAAGAGACACATTTTGGACATATTTTTCACAAATGCAAGAAATGTTTTGGAAATTTTCTGACTGTATTCAAAAGCTCTGTGAGGATGTAGTTTTGAACAGGAAGCTCATGACAAAACTACAAGAATCAAGGTTTGATGTCATTCTTGCAGACACCGTTGGACCCTGTGGTGAGCTGCTGGCTGAGCTACTTAAAATACCTTTAGTGTACAGTCTTCGCTTCTCTCCTGGCTATGCAGCCGAAAAACAAAGTGGAAGACTTCCTTTCCCTCCATCCTATGTGCCTATTATTTTCTCAGAATTAAGTGATCAAATGACATTCATGGAGAGAGTAAAAAATATGATATATGTGCTTTATTTTGACTTTTGGTTCCAAACATTTAATGAGAAGAGTTGGGATCAGTTTTACAGTGAAGTACTAGGTAAGTCATGTTTCTAATTGGTAGCACGAAATCTTAATTCCTAATGCCTACGAAGGTGAGTTTGTATTATGTCAGAGGAATTTGTCTTTGTAAATGAAATGATGAAAGGATAATATAAAATGATCTTCCAATCTCACAAATATTATGTAAAGACTTATATGACAAGACCAGTTCCAACTGTATCATCCATTACTGAGTACATTACACTCCAGGAATTCAATAACCACAAATTAAAGCACTAAGGATTTCTTGAAGCAATTACATATCTATTCATTGTGTGTTTGTAATACTTTAATTTTTTTTTTTTTACTTTTTTCTGGATAAAGTGTTTTAAACTTCCTTTGTTATTTATTAAATACAAGTTGAAAATATTACTTTTGATATGCTTTACTTTTTAGAATAATTTTAATGACAGCATATGGAGTCAAGATTTCCCAGATAACCATTGCCCCCACACGTGCATAAGGTTCCCCATTATCAGCATCCCCCACCAGACTGGTACATTTGTTACAACTGTTGAACCTACATTGACACATTATTATCCATCCAAAGTGTATAATTTATAGTGGAGTTCACTTTTGGTGGTGTATATTCTATAAGTTTTAGCAAATTTATGATGATATGTATACACCACTATTATATCAGAGTAGTTTCACTGCCTTAAATATCCTCTCTGCTGTGCCTATTTCCTACATATCCATTTTACTTTTCCCATTTTTTTAAAAAAAGACATTAGAGGGGTTCCTGGATGGCTCAGTTGTTTAAGCGTCTGCCTTCAGCTCAGGTCATGATCCCAGGGTCCTTGGATTGAGCCCTGAATTGGGCTCTCTCTCAGGAGGGAGCCTGTTCCTCCCTCTTGCTCTGCCTGCCTCTTCCCCTGCTTCTGCTCTCTCTCTCTCTGTCAAATAGATAAAATCTTTTAAAAAAAAAGACATTAGAAAATTTCACTATCTTGATGAAAGCAGAGATGTTAATTGAGGAGTCACATTTTTCTCGTACAACTGTCTATAGAGTATTGAGGATATTATTTCCACTTGTTTCCCTTTTTTAATTTAAAAATAAAAATGTTTTGTCATATTACCTGAAAGATTCCTTCATAGCTGGAAGAAATATTGGCTCTATCCCAGACTCAGGAACCTATAATAAGAAGTTTCTAATGATCACAAATTCTTTCACCAGGGCTTATAAATCATGCTTTAAAGGCCTAAAATCCTGTTGAAGGGTGCACATACACATTAATAGTTCACATTTTTTGAAAACTATGTTACTCCATTAAAGAAAAAATGAGTCAAAATTAATAGTGCACATATCTATTTCCATAGTTGATGAAAATATTCCAGCTGTTATTTGCAAATATTATTTAATACACAGATATTATTATGCTCCTAATGTGAACTAAGGGCAATGATAAGTACAAGGAGTCAAGTCATAGTTTCAAAACTTCAGTTTTCTTGGAAAATCTAGGATCTAGGTAATAACTTGCTAAATTATAGAAATGAGACTGCGTACTCTAAGGAAGGTGATTCCATTGTTTAATTGATTGAGGAGCTCAAATAATTGTTTACATTTGCATCTGTTACTTTTGCAGAATTTCAAAGGAAATAAATGTATGTTTAATTTGATAGTGACTTAGGTTTAATAATTGTTTGTGATTGTGAATGTACTACTGTGATGTTAAAAATGAGACACATTGTCTTTCATATATACATATGAACAACATATATAAGTATGTAAATATATATTTGCATCATTGTACATGTTTGTATCATATATGTGTTCTATTATCAAACAACAAATACTTTTAAACATTTTTCAACAAATTATTCCAAATTCCTTTCAGAAAATACCCTAGTATATTCACAATGCATTACTCTCATTTCCTCTACCTGTTGCTTGTTGTAGGGTTTTTTTACTTATTTATTTATTTACTTTTATTTTTCTACCAAGTTTTAATATTTTTTATTAACGTATAATGTATTATTTGCCAGAGGGTTACAGGTCTGACTTGTCAGTCTTACACACTTCACAGCACTCAACATAGCATATACCCTCCCCAATATCCATAACCCAGCCATCCTATCCCTACCTCTCCACCCACCAGCATCCCTTGGTTTGTTTCATGAGATTAAGAGTCTGTTATGGTTTTTCTCCCTCCTGATTCAATCTTGTTTCATTTTTTCCATCACTACCCCCCCAAACCCCCACCTTTTCTCTCAAATTCCTCATATCAGAGAGGTCACATGATTATTGTCTTTCTCTGATTGACTTATTTTGCTTAGTATACTACCCTCCAGTTCCATACTGTCATTGCAAATGGCAAGATTTTGATTCTTTTGATGGCTGGATAGTATTCCATTGCATATATATATATATACACCACATCTTCTTTATCCATTCAACTCTCTGCAAAAGCTTTTTATCTTGATAAATTCCCAATAGTTCATTTTCCCCCTTGTTTCCCTTGCCTCTGGTGATGTTTCTAGGAAGAAGTTGCTGCAGCTGAGGTCAAAGAGGTTGCTGCCTGTGTTCTTCTCAAGGATTTTGATGGATTCCTTTCTCACATTGAGGTCTTTCATCCATTTGGAGTCTATTTTTGTGTGTGGTGTAAGGAAATGACCCATTTTCATTCTTCTGCATGTGGCTGTCCAATTTTCCCAACACCATTTGTTGAAGAGACTGTCTTTTTTCCATTGGACATTCTTTCTTGCTTTGTTAAAGATTCGTTGACCATAGAGGTGAGGGTCTATTTCTGGGCTCTCTATTTTATTCCGTTGATCTATGTGTCTGTTTTTGTGCCAGTACCATACTGTCTTGATGATGACAGCTTTGAAATAGAGCTTGAAGTCTGGAATTGTTATGCCACCAACTTTGGCTTTCTTTTTCAACATTTCTCTGGCTATTTGAAGACTTTTTTGGTTTCATAAAGTTTTTAGGATTATTTGTTCCATTTCTTTGGGGAAAAATTGATGGTATTTTGATAGGGATTGCATTAAATGTGCAGATTACTTTAGGTATCATAGACATTTTCACAATATTTGTTCTTACAATCCATGAGCATGGGAAGTTTTTCCATTTCATTATGTCTTTCTCAATTTCTTTCATGAGTGCTTTATAGTTTTCTGAGTATAGATTCTTTGCGTCTTTGGTTAAGTTTATTCCTAGGTATCTTATGGTTTTGGGTGCAATTATAAATGGGATCGACTCCTTAATTTCTCTTTCTTCTGTCTTGTTGTTGGTATATAAAAATGCAACTGATTTCTGTGCATTGATTTTATATCCTGACATCAAGTTTTAATTTTCATTTTAATTCTGGTATAGTTAACTGAGTGTTATATTAGTTTCAGGTGTACAATATAGTTATTCAACAATTCTGCACATCACTCTGTGCCCATCCGAAGTGTCCTCCTTAATCCGTCATCACCTATTGAACCCATCCACTTACCCACAATGTCTCTAGTAATACAGTTTGTTCTTTATAGTGAAGAGTCTGTTTCTTTGGTGGCCTCTCTCTCTCTTTTTGTCTTTTGCTTTTTTGTTTGGATTCTTAAATTCTACATATAAGTAAAATCATATGATATTTGTCTTTCTCTAATTGACTTATTTTACTTAGCATAATAGTCTCTAGCTACATCCATGTCATTGCAAATTGTGAGACTTCATTTTTTTAAAAAAATATTTTATTTCTTTATTTGAGAGAGAGAGAGGGATAAAGAGAGAAATAGAATCTGAAGTATACTCCACACTGGGCACAGAGCCCCACTTGGGGCTCCATCCCACGACCACTAGATCAAGACGTGAGCCAAAACCAAGAGTTGGATGCTAAACCAACTGAGCCAGCTGGGTGCCCCAAGCTCTCATTCCTTTTTTTATGGCTGAATAATATTCATTACATAAATATACCACTTCTTCTTTAGTCATTCATCAGCTGATGAACACTTAAGTTGTTTCCATAATTTGGTTATTGTAGATAATGCTGCCATATACATTGACCCCAATGTTTATGTATCCCTTTGAATAAGTATTTTTGTATGCTTTGGGTAAATACCTAGTAGTGCAATTCCTGAATCATAAGGTACTTCCATTTTTAACTTAGAGAAACCTCTACACTTGTTTCTTGTGGCTTTGATTTTAGCCTTTCTGAAAGATGTGAGGTGATATCTCATTGGAGTTTTGATTTGCATTTCCCTGATGATGAACGGTGTTGAGCATCTTTTCATGTGTCTCTTGGCCAAGTGTATGCTTTTTTGGAGAAATGTGTGTTCATGTATTCTATCCTTTTTTTAAATTGGATTATTTGGTTTTGGGGTATTGAGTTGTATAAGTTCCTTATATATTTTGGATACTAACTCTTTCTTTAGGGTTTTCTATAATATCATGCCATCTGTAAATAGTGCAAGTTTTTCTTCTTCCTTACCAATTTGAATGGATTTTCTTTCTTTTTGTTGTCTGATTGCAATAGCCAGAACATATAGTACTATGTTGAAAAAAGTCATAAGAGTGGACATTCTTGTCTTGTTCCTGACTTTGGGGGGAAAGCTCTCAGTTGCTCCTCATTGAATATGATGTTCACTGCGGGTTTTCCATAAAAGGCCTTTATTTTGTCGAGGTGTGTTCCCTCTAAATCAACTTTGTTGAGAGTTTTTATCATGAATAGATGTGTATCCTTGTCAAATGCTTTTTCTGCATATATGGAAATGATCATATGGTTTTTCTCCTTTCTCTTACTAATGTGATGTGGGTTTTTTTTGTTGTTGTTGTTTTTTTGTTTGTTTCTTTGTTTTTTCCCTTCAGGAAGACCCACTACTTTATCTGAGTTAAGGGGGAAGGCTCAAATATGGCTCATTCGAACCTACTGGGATTTTGAATTTCCTCGCCCTCTCCTACCTAATTTTGAGTTTGTTGGAGGACTCCACTGTAAACCTGCCAAACCCCTGCCTAAGGTAACTGATTCCTGTCTCTTTTATTTGCTCTGAGGCATTTAACCAGTATTCTACTTAGAAATACCATTCCTCAACAATGTTTGTGTGTCCCAACAATATTTGCAGTCAAATCCAATGTTCACTTGCTGTCACTCCAACATTTACATAATTCCTCATTTGAGTTCCAAGGCTTGACATCTTAGAGCATTTATGGGTTTGCTTAGCCTATGAGGACACATGTTTTCTGCCACACATGAAGGCTGGATAAAATCTCAGTAAAGATCATTGGGGGAGGGACGCCTGGGTGGCTCAGTCAGTTAAGCAACTTACTAAGTTAAGTCAGTAAGTTAAGTCAGTTAAGCTGCTCAGTTCAGGATCCCAGGGTCCTGGGATAGAGCCCAAAGGCTCCTTGCTCAGGGGGGAGCCTGCTCCTCCCTCTGCCTCTGCCTGCCACTCTGCCTGATTGTGCTCTGTCCTTCTGACAAACAAATAAATAAAATCTTAAAAAAGATCATTGGGGAAACATGGTTCTCAACATAATGAGCATAGAAAAAACTACATTTTGTATAAAATAAGGACCACAAATTCTGCATATTTAATAAGGACCAAATTATTTCTACCACTTATACATGAAAAATATTCATAGCATAAAATTGCAAAATAATTCTGTTAGTATATAAGATGATACTTTATGAAAAAAAGCAATAAGGTAATATGTTTTAAGTTGCTATTGTACCTTTAAGACATAAGAAAAACAAGCATCCCTTACTAAATGATTTTATGGTCTCTTCAACATCTTGTTGTCTACCTTTTTATTAGTAATAAGATGAAACTAAGATCTTATTTGAGGGTTAACCTAATACCAATTTTGATTGCAAAATGTTTAAGTGTGTATGGTAACTTTCTCAAAGTCTAAATCCTGAGGTAAAACTGGTAAAAGTTCTATTCAGTCTAAAACAAGTGTCCATGGACAGATAAATCCATAAATATAATGTATTTACAAATAATGGAATATTAGTCATAAAACAGAAGAAATGCCTAACACATACTCTAAAGTGGAAAAGCTTCAGGATATTACAGAAAGTGAAAGGCGGCAATTACAAAAAGCAGATAAGGTATGATTCCACTGACACGTGAGGTATGCAGATTAGTCAGATTCATAGAAATACAAAGTATAATGATGGTTGCTAAAGATGGTGAAGGAGAGAATGGGGAAATGTTATATAATGGGAACAGAATTTCAGTTCAGCAAGATGAGAAAGTTCTGGTGATTGATTACCGGGCAGTGTAAATATACACATTATTGACTGCATGCCCGGGAATAGTTAAAATGGTAATTTTTTTGTGTATTTCACCACAATTTAAAGATAAAAACAGGCATTATTCTAAATCTCCTGATACTATTTGGTATCTCTCCTTAGCTGCTTGAAGATTTTTTTTTTTTTTTTGAGATTTATTTATTTGAGAGAGAGTTGGGAGATAGGGGAGGGGAGTCGAGAGAGAGAGAGAGAGAGAGAAGACCTTGCAAATTCTCCACTGAGTGTAGAGACAGCCTCAGGGCTCAATCGCCCAACCCTAAGATAATGACCTGAGGTAAAATTAAGAGTCAGATATTTAAGTGACTGAGCCACCTAGGCACCCCTGTAGAAATTTGTTTAATAGTGTTTGCTATGGTGTTCTCCTTTTGTAATGGAACAAATTTTTTCTTCACAGGAAATGGAAGAGTTTGTCCAGAGCTCTGGAGAAAATGGTATTGTGGTGTTTACACTAGGGTCTATGGTCACTAATGTGCCAGAGGAAAAAGCCAATGTGATTGCGTCAGCCCTTGCACAGATTCCACAAAAGGTTAGATAAAGTAACTTAATGCTATACAACTACTTAATGAGTCTGTTAAACTGTGTAAAGAGTTTGTTTACCCTTTCCTTCATGACATGGAAACCATGATGATAGCTCTAATTTATCTCAGATATGAGTAAAATACACATGGCAAATGGTAAAATAGTACAGAAGGTGTTTTGACAATAACTTTGGCATTAACATTGAGATCAGAAAGAAATATATTTAGGAGGAATATATTTAGGAGATACAGTGTAACATTTGCTATTATAATGTATCGTGGGCAGATACAGAAATCACCAACTTCTGTCCTGTCATTCACTTCTTCTCCTTACAGGATTTCCAAGGGCAATGAATAACACATAGATGTTCTCTGAAAGGAGTTAAATTTCAACAGTTATGTTAAGCAGGAACTGATAAAAGTCTGAAAAGCTTCATGCAGTTTATGCTTGCTGGATAATCCAGGTTTCTTTTCCTTCCACTAGCTTTTTGAGGAAAACCAACTCAGTATGCTCTTCAGAGAAAGGATGCCCAGGGCAACCAAGCTATGTTTTGGCAATTGTCCAGCCTAAGTGATTCAGGGAAAAAGAAAAACTAACACGACTGGTGGAGTGGACCCAGTTAAGAATAAAAGAGTAAAATAAATGAAAAGGGAGGAGATGAGTCCACCCCTCTAGGTGACCCTGTGCTTAGTAATAGTAGTTCCAAAAGGACTTTAACTTGCCAGAATAGTAACTTCACCTGATTGAGGAAGGAAATGGAAATATATTAAGGAGTCAACCAGAAACAAGCCTAGGAAGGGAAAGTTTCAGATGCCTCTTTCTATGTAAAATATAGTAGTAAATTATTTTCTGATATCAGAAAACACCTGGAGTATTTGGGTATTTGTGAACTACTTTTTGGTTTACTGATATAGTTTCTCTTTATGCTAAAGTTTACTTAATATCTAAAGTTACTTGAACATTTGCATATGTTAACCAATGTAAACCATCATCCAGATTATGCAGATTGCTGGGGAATTCTGAAATCAATCTATTTTGGTACTGGGAATGGAAATTGCTTGGGTATAGAACTCATATTAATCCATGCTATCAATGTTTTGTAGTGCATCATTGAAGTGTTAACAATCGATTAAATAAAATGTAGCATCATCACAGCTTTGGATGTTTTTCAACAGCTGCACTTTTATTTCTGAAGTTCCAATAGGCTCTTTTTTTTTTTTTTTGAAGATTTTATTTATTTATTTGACAGAGAGAGAGATCACAAGTAGGCAGAGAGGCAGGCAGAGAGAGAGGGGGAAGCAGGCTCCATGCTGAACAGAAAGCCAGATGCAGGGCTCCATCCTAGGACTCTGGGATCATGACCCAAGCCAAAGGCAGAGGCTTTAACCCACTGAGCCACCCAGGTGCACCGCCAACAGGCTCTTCTTTGTAACATTTAAAGAATTTCCGAACCAAGAAATAGTAATAATAATCTGGATTCATGTAAAAATTTACCTTTTTCTTGGAGGTAGTGCCTAATAATTAGTAATGTAAAAGAAATTATAGGTACTAAGAGAAGTTATTTATATTAATAAATTACTGGAAAGCAGAAATATTTATTTCTCACAAACAACAGATTGCATACTTAGCTCTTTTGTATATCAAAACATGTAAAACTCTAATAAAATAACATATGGAACAAGTAGATATACATGAACTCCCTCCTGCAACACTTTAAAAGAAATAAATAGGTAATATTACATTGGAAGATGATAGCAGTTATAATAGATAAAACAAAACAAATGTGTAGGACTTAGTAATTTCCAATTTGTTCACACTAGAATTATAATAACTGTCTAAAAAGTTCTTAAATATGTTTGTCACTATTAATCTCATTTGTCTAATCTCTATGTGTGAAACATCATGATTACATTCATACTTGATTGAATATAAAAGTAAGTAAAAAATGTGGGTATTTTATTATACCAGCATTTTGGTAGTCTCATTTTTAATATATTTGTCCTGTTATTTTTCAGTCAGTGAAAGCGGTCTAACTAGATTATCTCTTAATTTCTTTAAAATTTTAATATGCTGCGGCAACTGGGTGGCTCAGTGGGTTAAAGTCTCTGCTTTAGGCTTAGGTCATGATCCCAGCGCCCTGTGATAAAGCACCACATCGGGCTCTCTGCTCAGCAGGGAGCCTGCTTCCCCCCCACCTGCCTGCCTCTCTGTCTACTTGTGAGCTCTCTCTGTCAAATAAATAAATAAAATCTATTAAAAAAATTCTAATATGCTATAACTTCAAAGTTTCTACTTATGAAATAAGGGATTTTCTTTAACAGGTTCTATGGAGATTTGCTGGCAAGAAACCAGACAAGTTAGGGCCAAATACTCGGCTGTATGAGTGGATCCCCCAGAATGACCTTCTTGGTAAGAATCTGGAAAACCTTGAATTAAAAGTAATGCTAAAAAAAATGATAAGAGTTCCCAAGAAGCAAATTGATTGAACATTCATTATTGAAAAATTCAAAAACAAAACTTAGCTTCTTTACATTTATTTTGCCTTGCTAGGAGGGAAAATGATCGATACGGGATGTTATTATACACAGTCACGTTCCTTATGACTAGAATCAAAGTACTTTATTTCATGTATGATTACTTCTCAAGGGTAATTTTCTAATTTTTAATTTAAATGCAAATAGCCAACATAGAGTGCATCATTAGTTTCAGTTGTACTGTTCAGTAATTTATCAATTGCATGTAACACCCAGTGCTCACCCATTAAGTGCCCTCCCTAATGTCCATCACCCAATTACACTATCCCTCATCCACCTCCCATCCAGCAACCCTTGGTTTGCTCCCTATAGGGGCAAACTATAGCAAACTTAGGTTTGTCTCCCTGTATGATTTCTTTCCATTCTGTTTTCCCTCCTTCCCCTATATTCCTCTGTGCTCTTTCTTATATTCCACATATGGGTGAAAGGATAAAATTATTGTCTTTCTCTGATTGATTTATTTCATTCATCATAATACCCTCCAGTTCCATCCCTGTCAATGTAAATGGTAAGTATTCAACCTTTCTGATGGCTAATATTCCATTGCATAAATATACCATATTATCTTTATCCATTCATCTGTCCGTGGATATCTAAGCTCTTTCTACAGGTTGGCTATTGTGGACATTGCTGCTATAAACACTGGGGTTTATAGCAGTGCTCCTTCAGGTCAATACATTTGTATCTTTGAGGTAAATACCTAGAAATGCAATTGCTGGGTCATAAGGTAGCTTTGTTTTTAACATCTTGAGGAACCTCCATAATATTTTCCAGAGTGACTGCACCAGCTTGCATTCCCACCAGCGTAAGAGGGTTCCCCTTTCTCCACATCCTCACCAACATTTGCTGTCTCCTGTCTTGTTAATTTTAGCCATTCTGATTGGTGTAAGGTGGTATCTCACTGTGGTTTTGATTTGTATTTCCCTGATGCCAAGGGATGTTAAGCTTTTTTTAATGTGCTTGTTGGCCATTTTTATGTCTTCTTTGCAGAAATGTCTGTTCATGTCTTCTGCCCATTTCTTGAGTGGATTATTTGTTTTTTTGGGAGTTGATGTTGGTAAGTTCTTTATAGACCTTGGATATCAACCCTTTATCTAATATGTCATTTGCAAATATCTTCTCCCATTCTGTAGGTTGCCTTTTAATTTTATTGACTGTTTCCTCTGCTGTGCAGAAACCTTTTATCTTGATGAAGTCCCAACAGTTCATTTTTGCTTTGTTTCCCTTGCCTTTGGAGACATGTCTAGCAAGAAGGTGCTGTGGCTGAGGTTGAAGAGGTTGCTACCTGTGTTCTCTAGAATTGGGTGGATTCCTGTGTCACAGTTAGGTCTTTCAACCATTTTGAATTTATCTTTGTGCATGGTATAGGAAATAGCCCAATTTCATTCTTCTACATGTGGCTGTCCAATTTTCCTAACACAATTGATTGAAGAGACTGTCCTTTCTTCATTGGATATTCTTTCCTGCTTTGTGAAAGATTAATGGGCCATAAAGTTGATGGTTCATTTTTGGGTTCTTTTCCATTGATCTTCTTCTTTTCCATTGATCAAAGTATCTGTTTTTGTGCCAATACCACACTGTCTTGATGATTACAGTTTTGTAAATAGAGCTTGATGTCCAGAATTGTGATGCCACCAACTTTGGTTTTCTTTTTCAATATTCCTGTTTTCTACATTCCTTTCAACATTCCTCTCTCAACATTTCTTTTTAAAAATTTGGGGTCTTTTCTGGAACCATACAAATTTTAGGATTATCTGTACCAGCTCTTTGAAAAATTTTGATGGTATTTTGATTGGGATTGCACTGAATGTGTAGATTGTTCTGGGTACCATAGACTTTTTAACGATATTTATTCTTCCAATCCATAAGCATGGAATATTTTTTCATTTCTTAGTGTCCTCCTCAAATTCCTTCACAAGTCTTCTGTAATTTTTAGAGTACAGATCCTTTACCTCTTTGGTTAGGTTTATTCCAATGTATCTTATGGTTTTGGGTGCAATTTTAAATAGGATAGACTCCTCAATTTCTCTTTCTTCTCTCTCATTGTTAGTGTATAGAAATGCAACTTATCTCTGTGCATTGATTTTATTTCCTACCATGTGGCTGAATTCCTGTATCAGTTCTAGCAATTTGGGGGTAGAGTGTTTGGGGTCTTCCACATAAGGTATCATGTCGTCAGCAAAGAGTGAGAGTCTGACTTCTTCTTTGCCAATTTGAATGCATTTTATTTCCTTTTGTTGTCTGACTGCTGAGACTATGACTTCCAGTACTATGTTGAACAAAAATGATGGGAGTGGGCATCCCTGTCATATTCCTGACCTTAGAGGAAAAGCTCTGTGTTCCCCCCATTGAGAATGATATTCGCTGGGCTTTTCATAGATGGCTTTTATGATATTGAGATAGGTTTCCTCTCTGCCAACACTGTGGAGAGTTTCAATCAAGAAACATACTGTGTTTTGTCAAATGTTTTTCTGCATCAATAGAGAAGGACATATATGGTCCTTGCCCTTTCTTTTATTAATGTGATGTATTACATTGATTGGTTTGTGAGTGCAAAACCCAGGAGTTTTGCACTCTTCAAGCCCAGGAATAAATCTCATATCATTGTGGTGAATAATCCTTTTAATGCACTGTTGGATTTTATTGGCTACTATCTTGGTGAGAAATTTTGCATCCATGTTCATCAGGAGTATTGCTCTCTAATTCTCCTTTTTGGTGGGGACTTTGGTTTGGAGATCAAGGTAATCCTGGCCTCATAAAATGAGTTCAGAAGTTTTCCTTCCATTTATATTTTTTGAAACAGCTTCAGAAGAATAGGTATTATTCTTCTTTAAATGTTTTGTAGAATTTCCATGGGAAGCCATCGGCTCTCGTCTCTTGTTGGTTGGGAGATTTCTTCTCACTTACTTCAGTTTCCTTCCTGGTTATCAGTGTGTTCACATTTTCTATTTCTTCTTGTTTCAGTTTTAGTAGGTTATACGTTTCCAGAAACGCAGCCATTTCTTCCAGATTGCCTAATTTGTTGGCATATAGTTGCTCATAATATGTACTTAAAATTATTTGTATTTCCTTGGTGTTGAGCATGATCTCTCCTCTTTCATTCATGATTTTATTAATTTGTGTCCTTTCTCCTTCTTTTTAATAATGTGGCTGGGGATTTATTGATGTAATTAACTCCTGAAAGAACAAGCTTCTAGTTTCATTGATCTGCTCTACTCTTTTGGTTTCTAGTTCATTGATTTGTGCCCTACTCATTATTCTTTTTTCTTCTGCTTGGTGTAAGCTTTATTTGCTGTTCTTCCTCTAGCTTCTTTAGTTTTAAAGTTAGCTTGTGTATTTGAGACTTTTCTATTTTTTTGAAAAAGGCTTGCATTGCTATGTACTTCCCTCTTAGGACCGACTTTGCTGCATCCTAAAGGTTTTGAAGGGTTGTGTTTTCATTCTCATTGGTTTCCATGCAACTTTATAATTCTTTAATATCCTGGTCAATCATTCATTCTTTAGTAGAATGCTCTTTTACCTTCAAATGTTTGAGTTCCTTCCAAACATCCTCTTGTAATTGAGTTCAATTTCAAAGCATCATGCCCTGAAAATATGCTGGGGATAATCCCAATCATTTGATATGGGTTGAAAAACAATTTGTGACATCGTATGTGATTTATTCTGGAGAATGTTCCATGTGCACTTGAGAAGAATGTGTATCCTGTTGCTTTAGATGGAATGCTCTGTATATATCTGTGAAGTCCATCTCATCCACTGTGTCATCCAAAGCCCTTGTTTCCTTGTTGATCTTCACTTAGATGTCCATTACAGTGAGTGGAATATTGAAATTCCCTATTATTCAGTTACTATCAAGGTGTTACTTTAATTTGATTATTAATATATTTATATAAATCACTGCTCCCAAGTTAGAAGCATACATATTTATAATTGTTAGATCTTCTTGTTGGAAAGACCCTTTAATTATGATATAGTGTTTCTCCTCATCCCTTTCTACAGACTTTGGTTTAAAATCTGATTTTTCTGATGTGAGTATTGCCACCCCAGCTTTCTTTTGATGCCCATTAGCATGAAAAATGGTTTTCCACACCCTCACTTTCAATCTGGAGGTGTCTTTGAGTCTAAAATGTGTCTCTTGCAGACAGCATATCAATGCATCTTGCTTTTTTTATGTAATCTGATACCCTGTGTCTTTCAGTTAGTCCATTTAGCCCATTTACATTCAGAGTAACTATTGAAAGATATGAGTTTAGTGCAATTGTACTAACTGTAAAGTCACTGATTCTGTAGGTTGTCTCTGTTCCTTTCTGGTCTATGTTACTTTTGGACACTTTCTTCACTTAAAGGATCTCCTTTAATATTACTTTTAGAGCTGGTTTAGTGATCAGAAATTCTTTGAGTTTCTGTTTGTCCTGGAAGCCTTTGCTCTCTCCTATTTTGAATGAGAGCCTTGCTGGATAAAGTATTCTTGGTTTCCTATTTTTCTTATTTAGCACTCTAAATATATCATGCCAGTCTTTTCTGGCTTGCCAAGTCTCTTGGGTAGGTCTGCTGCAAGTCTAATGTCTCTACCTTTGTAGGTTATGGACCTCTTGTCCCAAGCTGCTTTCAGGATTTTCTTTTTGTCTCTGAGATTTGCAAGGTGCATTGTTATGTGTCAAGGTGTTGACTTATTTTTATTGATTTCCAGGGGGGTTGTCTGTGTCTCCTGGACTTGAATGCTTGTTTCCTTCCCCAGATTAGGGAAATTCTCAGCCATGATTTGCTCAAATATGCCTCATGGACCTCTCTTCCTCTGGGGCCCCAAAAACTCTAATATTATTTTGTTTATAGGATCACTGATATATCAAATCCCCCCCTTACCCTCTGGCTCCA